AGAGAGAGAGAGAGAGAGGAAACAGTGTGTACCTTAACCCAACTATAGAGAAAACAAAAATGAGAAAATTCAGATCTTTTATGTTTCTGTTTTTAAATAATTGGATATTTAAAAAAATCAAGATCATAAGCAAAGAAAGGCTTAATTTTTCCTGAACTCCTAAGATCCTCTCCCTAGACCTTCTTGATATTTTTATATTATTTCCAATTTACCTGGATTTTCATTTGGAGATACAGAATTCCCAGAGATTTTGAAGTCATGGGTGAGTTGAAATGAGACTTTTTTGTGTGTGAAGGGAGAGAGAAATTTTGGGGAAAATTATATGTAAAATACGCAAAATATAATTTATAATGACTTGCAGAGAAGCAAACTCTCTCCTTCTCTCTCTCTCTCTCTCTCTTCCTGGGAAATAAACATCATGCACAAATTTAGTGTGCTTATTAAGTTAGAATTTGCTGTATTTAGAGACGTGATAGCCTGGAAATGTTACTTTTTTCTGTTTTTCTTTGGGGAGGAGTAAAGGCCAAAAAAACCTCTTTTTCAGGGTTTTGCAATTTTAAACCCACTAGGAAGATAGAAAGACACACAGATGTAGGTGTGTTATCCCCTTCCCCATACATTCCTCTCCTTCCCCACCAAAGCTCACTGGACATGTCCAACAATTAAGACAGAGAGCTGTGTGTCCACCCGGTTAGGGTTCTGCTGTCAGAAGTAGGTGGTGGGAGGCAGGAGGACAGAACAGATCAGAAGGGGCAGGAGTCTGGGGTGGTTGGCCTGATTTAAGACAGGACACAGGCAACCCGGGAGTTCAGAGAACAAACCAGGGAATGCGAATCCAGAAAAAGGATCTGAGCACAGATTCTAAGGCAAAAGGCCCAGTGGGGGAGGGGGATGGGCAGAGCACAGAGTTCCAATGAATAATCTGGGTTGTCAGTGCCCAGACATCTAGACCAGGTAGGAAGCCAGGCTCAAAATGAATACAGTAGTCCACCCTTATCCACGGTTTTGCTTTCTGCGGTTTTAGTTACTCTCAGTCAACAGTAATATGAAATATTAAACGGAAAATTTCAGAAATAAACAATTTGTAAGGTTTAACTTGTGCGCCGTTCTGAGTAGCATGATGAAACCTCACGCCCTCCAGCTCGCTCCCTCCCGGAATGTGGATCATCCCTTTGTCCAGAGTCTCCACATTGTACTTGCTTCCCACTCATTGGTCACTTAGTAGCCTTCTCAGTTATCAGATCTACTGTCACAGCATCTCAGTGCTTGTGTTCAAGTAACCCTTATTTTACTTAATAATAGCCTAAAGTGTAAGGCAAGATTAGTGATGTTGGATATTTGGATATGCCAAAGAGAAGGCAGAAAGTGCTTTCTTTAAGGGAAAAGGTATGTACGTATAGAAAAAAAAACATAGTACATACAGTTTTTGGTGCTATATGCAGTTTCAGGCATAACCTGGGAATCTTAGGACTTATTCCCTGGGTTAAGGGAGGACTATGGTATGTGGAAACAGGTGGATAGGCTCTGCCTGCTGACAGCACAAACACAGCTTGGCTACTGATAGTGGGACAGGTCTATCTTCTGCACCTACCACAAGACCAGAATGTAAGGACTCAACAAGTATTCCATGAGTCCTTCCTGGAGAATAATTACTCCAGAAGTAGTCTAGCTAATACTTTTTTTTAAAAATCAAATTAGAGAATTCAAGTACAAAGAGGATATTGATAATGGTCATAAAGAAAGAAAACACTAGAATTTAAAGATATTGTCTAATTATAATCAACACATTTATAAAGCTGAATGCAATTGTCAAATAACTTGAAGCTAGGGAATATGTCTATTAAATTTATCATTGTATTCCTTCCTAGTGCCTCACGTAATACATACATAGATATTTGTTGAATAAAATGTAAGAAAGAAATCAATAATCATAATTCAGAACTAAAAATCCAGATAATTCTGACAGAACCAGATTTATAGTGAAAGGAAGTAAAAGCATGCTAAATCTGTTTTATTCTTAATGTAATGAAATATAGGTCTAAATGATTTTAACTTAAAGATAAAAACAAAATGTAAAACTTCAAAGCATTAGAGAAGAACGAAAGAACAAAGAAAACAAGAGTATTACTGCAAAAGATAAGAGTTTCCCTTTAGTGCAGCTCAATGCCGGCCCGAACACTGGCTCCGTTGACTCCT